TCAATAAAACTGTCAGTCAAACAGTTAGGCAGGTAAAAAAGTTAAGTTCAATTGTTTATTGAACAGTGAGCTGCACTAACTCCCAACAAGACTCAAACCACAACAGCAAGAATGAAGACCTGCTTCAAACAGTCACAACATGGTCAAAAACGTACATGTGTGTATGTATGTGTATGTACACTGCAAAAACTCAAAATCTTACCAAGAATATTTATTTCTAGTCAAAACAAATCTCATTACAATTGAAATGAGACTCATCACCTAAAAAGTAACTATTTTGTAGACAATTTTCACTTGAAATAAGTACAAAAAAAATCTGTCCATGGAGTGAGCAAGTTTGTTTTTTTTTGGCTTGCAATAAGAAAAAAAAAACTTGCTCCATGGGCAGATTTTCATACTTATTTCAAGTGAAAATTTGCTTGAAACAAGTATTTTTTAAGTGTAAAGAGATTTGTTTTGACTAGAAATGAGGCTAGTAAACACATTTTAGTAAACACATTTTATAGTGAGCAGCATACACATGTCCCCTACAAATCCCAACCGTGTTTACAAAGTTTGAATGAACAAGACGGACGCAAAGGAAACGGAGGCTGCGCACTGATCCTTTTGCCTCTGTCTGCAGGAACGAATAAAAATCCCATTCATTATGGGGTCAAATGGATTATGTGCATAATTAACCACAAAACAAGCAAATACTTCATCTTAATGACATATAACACTCATTATGCTTCAGCTGAATCCTCTAAGCAAATGACCATGTTGAATTGAAATTAGTTTATCACGTTAAATGTCCTAAATTTTATGAAATTGCTCCAATGCGTCAAACCAAACTTTGCGCGTAATCACACAGCCTGATATGCCCTGCAAACACAGTGGGACTGCTGTACAGACCATTGGTCTTTCTTACCCTAACCCTGGTTATTTTCTGAAAGCACAGAGCAAAGAAATGTCTTTCTTTTCTCCCCCGGTCTGCTGTCAGCAGAGAGCAGCAGCTGCAGCGGGGATTTCAGCACCACGGACGGCGCGCGTAAAAAGACTTGACAAGCGTCTCCTTTTAAATGTGTTTGCTGCTAGAGAAATTATACATAATAAATTAAGACAGTGACATATTTTCAATAAAAAAAACAATGAGTTGAACGTTAATTTCAAGCTTTTGTAGTACGAGTTTCAGAATTGTGTGAGTGCGGCCGGAGAGCGGGTGGCAGTGTTTGATGCAGGAAACTCGATATGGACTTGAAAATCAATTTCGGAGTGGGGGTCGTTCGGAATGGCAGTGTTTGGGAATGGAGGGCTGTCCCCCGTCAGGTTCATGCGGAAGTGACTCTGTGTGGTAGCGGTGACAGTTTTATTTCAGTCCATAACAGAAATCCCCGCCTCGTTTGAGCTTCAGAAATGATTTTGGAAATGTAGCTTGTGTGGACGCTACTGCGCTAAGTGATCAGTAAAAGAGCTTAACTACTGAGAAGTTACTTGATTCAGAAAACAGCGACGCTACCACCAAGCTACTGAGAAATGTAGTTAAACTACAAATGTCCGCTACTGTAGTGACGCTACTGCCCAACACTGGAGTAGAGGGAAAGATCGCGGGCCACTAGGCTAATCTGTACAGTGTAAAATATCATAGGCTTGTGCTAATAACGTTAGCATGCTATATTCGTTTGGAAAACGTGTTTAGTACTAGACAGTTGTTTTGTCGGTGAGTCTTGTGAGTTGGAATGGAGCCAAATTGTGTGCCGTTACCTTTGTTAAATGTCGCTGTTGTCCCTGGTTTTATATGAGAAGAGGAAAAGTTTGCTAGTTGCTAGGCTAATTTATACAATGTAAAATGCCATAGGCTTGTGCTANTGCGTCAAACCAAACTTTGCGCGTAATCACACAGCCTGATATGCCCTGCAAACACAGTGGGACTGCTGTACAGACCATTGGTCTTTCTTACCCTAACCCTGGTTATTTTCTGAAAGCACAGAGCAAAGAAATGTCTTTCTTTTCTCCCCCGGTCTGCTGTCAGCAGAGAGCAGCAGCTGCAGCGGGGATTTCAGCACCACGGACGGCGCGCGTAAAAAGACTTGACAAGCGTCTCCTTTTAAATGTGTTTGCTGCTAGAGAAATTATACATAATAAATTAAGACAGTGACATATTTTCAATAAAAAAAACAATGAGTTGAACGTTAATTTCAAGCTTTTGTAGTACGAGTTTCAGAATTGTGTGAGTGCGGCCGGAGAGCGGGTGGCAGTGTTTGATGCAGGAAACTCGATATGGACTTGAAAATCAATTTCGGAGTGGGGGTCGTTCGGAATGGCAGTGTTTGGGAATGGAGGGCTGTCCCCCGTCAGGTTCATGCGGAAGTGACTCTGTGTGGTAGCGGTGACAGTTTTATTTCAGTCCATAACAGAAATCCCCGCCTCGTTTGAGCTTCAGAAATGATTTTGGAAATGTAGCTTGTGTGGACGCTACTGCGCTAAGTGATCAGTAAAAGAGCTTAACTACTGAGAAGTTACTTGATTCAGAAAACAGCGACGCTACCACCAAGCTACTGAGAAATGTAGTTAAACTACAAATGTCCGCTACTGTAGTGACGCTACTGCCCAACACTGGAGTAGAGGGAAAGATCGCGGGCCACTAGGCTAATCTGTACAGTGTAAAATATCATAGGCTTGTGCTAATAACGTTAGCATGCTATATTCGTTTGGAAAACGTGTTTAGTACTAGACAGTTGTTTTGTCGGTGAGTCTTGTGAGTTGGAATGGAGCCAAATTGTGTGCCGTTACCTTTGTTAAATGTCGCTGTTGTCCCTGGTTTTATATGAGAAGAGGAAAAGTTTGCTAGTTGCTAGGCTAATTTATACAATGTAAAATGCCATAGGCTTGTGCTAATAACATTAGCATGTTGTATTGGTGGGGAAAATGCATCCAGATAAAGACAAGTGTTTGTCGGTGAGTGCTGTGAGTTAGGGCCGTAATAGACTTGCCGCTTGATCGAACGTACATGTACACAATGTGTTGTGTCTGTGTATATACTTGCTGCAGCACTGTGTGGGTGTTGTAAACAAACATGGATGCCCTTGATATGCTTGATGAGGAAGAAGAACTATGTCACTATGTAACGGCGTGGAAACATCATAGAGATGTGGGTAGTTCTGCACCAGGTCTGTCAGCCTCTCTTCAAAAGTTTCCGCCATTGCTCCGACAGTGACTCCATCTGTTCTGATCTCATCAAACGAACGCAAATCAAGGGCAGCCATGATGCGGTTGCATTGTTTGCAGCAAGTATATTACTGGCCTTATAGTGAAGCCAATTTGTGCATTTGTGTTTGAAATTGTTTCTATTAAGTCATATTTAATGTGTGTTTTGGGTGTGTTTTGAATCAACTAAACTTAACAGCACTTAACAGAAACCTCCACCGCCGACTAGTGTTTTGGAGGTGTAACTGCAGAGTGACACAGACACACCACCGCACAAGTAAAAATGCTCACAACGACGTAGGCGACGTGCGTAGGGTCTACGCACAACCATAAATCTTGCTTAACACATTTATTGTGGTTTTGGACTTTTCATGAGATTTTGTTGACAACAAGAAAAATGTAGATAAATGCCAGTCTTGGACATAGTAACCTTTTCAAATACTAATTTTATCTTTAGTCAGTGGATGTTTATCTTGGTAATTCAAACAAAACATACAGCTTTCACTAGCTCACATATTTGGTTATTAATGATTGTAGATAGTCAGAAAAATGAATGACTTCTCCTCATAAACATGAATTGTATCATGTCATTATGAAAATGACAACCTTTCGTTTAAAGGGATACTTCAGATTTGTGAGGTTATACGGTGTACTTATCCATAGACAGTATCACATACAGTTGGTGTCCAAACTGGGCACAAACCCAGTTTGGAGGAACAGGCTACATGGAAGCTAAGCAATATACTGCTGTGAAGGTGTCTGCAACAACATGTATTTTAGCCACCTAAAAAGGGTCCTACCTAAAAAATTCTATATCATTTTAAGTGTATAGTTTATACTATATTGAACGTATTCTCATTGCTTCACCTTAATGTTTGACAGCAATTTCCAACTGGAAAATGAAACTCTTATACCGTTCTCTTCAAAGCCAGACTCCACAGAGAAAAACTGATTTAACATCACAAAACGTAGGAGCTGCTGGTCTACTGCTGCTTCGATCAGTTAATTAGTTTGTGTTACTGTGTGACTTACTGGTGTTTAAAAGGGTTAGCTCAAATTCACTAAAGTCGCACAATAATACAAATTAACTAACTGATTGAAGTAGCAGTACATGAGCAGCTTCCTTAGTCAGCAAGCTAAAGTTACTGTTTTTCTCAATAGATTCTGGTGGCTTTGATGACAGCTTAGATGAGGAACTGAAGCCGTTAACGGCATCCCAGTCGAAACAGGCTGTTTGTCAAAAAGCTAAAGCAGTGAAAATACTCTCAATATAGCATACACACCAAGTGACAGAGACTTTGTTTATGTGGGATTTTTTTCAGTGGGCTAAAATATGTTTCACTGCTGCCAGTGGGTAAAATATGTTTCACTGCTGCCCCCATCCACAGCAGTGGGAAGCTTAGCTTCCATGTCCGACACCAGCCTGCTTCTCCAAACAGGAGAATGACAACTAACATCTACTCTGGGTGACTTTCTTCGATAAGTACCCCATACCACCCCACTGTAAAAAAAATCCAAACCATCCCTAGATGTAATAAAACCCAAATTCTGAGTAATGACTAAATAGTCACACTTGTACCTTTACATTGTGATATTAATGAAGTGAAAAAATATTCTCTAAGCTATTAATTGTTTGGTTTGAGTAACGTTACAGTTGGGTCAAATAATAATCAGAAGATTAATCCAAGGACAAGAATTGTTGATTGCAGCCTATATAAATCTCAGTAATTATTAAGCATTACTCTATTTAATTATTAAATATTGTTGTCACAACATCTGCAGCTTTGTCATGTGGGTTTCTCCCTTGTTTGTTTCAGTGGGAGCAGAGCTGGCCCCACCAGAGAATGTGACCATTATCACCTTGAACACCAATTATACACTGAGCTGGGATTGGGACCAGAGTTCTGCAAAGAATCACGCTGTCAACTTCACCACACAATATGTTGCGTAAGTCCCACTCACACAGATTGATCATATATAAGAAGGAGAAAGCAGCCACACTTAAGCTGAGCAACAACTTTGTTACGACAAGATGAAGATTGAATGTGGGTTTAAGTGATTTACCTGTAAATCTCTAGCTGAACATATTGTCCTATAACATTACTAATCCTGGATAAGCATTCAGGTCTGGTTGCAAAACAAACAGGAGGGTCTAAATGGGCGTAGTTACGTTCTGGAAAGGTTTTTGCAGCGTTAGCCATGTGGTTCAAGGGAGAGCAGTGTTGGCTGGTCCACGACTTTGGTCCACAGTGAAATATTTCAACAACTGTGAGATGGAATGCCATAAATGTGGTTCAGACATGTTCCCCACAGGAGAAATTGTAATAACATTTGGAATGATAATGTTAAACACTTTAAGCTCTCAGCCTGCAACAAAAAAAGTATGTAAAACTGCCATATACATCAGTAAACACTGTAATGCTCCCAACATAAAAAAACATATAATTTTATTTGAAAAAAATGTGTATATATATATATACATATATATATATATATATATATGTATATATATATATGTGTGTGTGTGTGTGTGTGTGTGTGTAAGGGTTAATCCACTAGGTGTGTTCCAAAGGGTTTTAATGCACGACGTGGGGGCGAAGAATTACCCAACGCACAGCGGAGGGTAATTGCCTCCGCGAAGTGCATTAAAACCATTTGGAACACACCTACTAGTGGATTAACCCGCTTACACCATGGTCATTTGCCAAGAATAAAAGAATAAAAGGATTCGACAACTTTTGGTGAAAATTTTGTATTCAAAATTGAAAGTTTTTAAAGCTAGAGCTTACCATTGTCATGACAAGGAATAAACTAGTCCCTTTTACAACCACGCCAGTTACAGTAGTCACAGTAGGACGGGATGAGGCTCAGTCGCCTCAAAGCCAAAAGTAGCCTATTAAAAATTTAAATTAAGCTTGATTTAAGTCAAAATTATTCCACAGTGTGGTTATTGTTTATAAAATGATCGGACCAAGTAGTGAGTCGTGACCCAGTGTGCAGATAGGCCATCAGATTACCAGGCAATGATAGATATTTGCTAAATTGATTAGGTTAAATAAGAGACACAGCTACTAAATAGGTGATCATTTATTGGTTCATTAATTCATCAATTTAATTGGCTCATTTCTATTTCAAATAAAGCAGATAACAAAATGTAACAAGCAATAAATATCAATTTAATTGGTTCATTTCTATTTCAAATAAAGTAGGCTATAAAAGATAACAAAATGTAATGTAAGTGTAATGTAACCCTTCGACAAGCAATAAATAGTAGTCTATTAACAATTTGGAACAGGTTTAGCCTTCAGCCACCAATAAATAAATAAATAAATAAATAGGCTTAATAGGCTAACAATTTGAAACAATTCGTGCCTTCAACCAGCACACACAAAATAAACTAGGCTATTAGTAACAATTTAGAATAATCAGACAAAAAAATAGGCTTCATTTCGATTTTTCATGCAGTGAAGCTATGAGCAAATTATCAACAATTAGTCAAGCATTTAAATGAAATTCCATGTTCCTGTTAATGGTGCAATTTATGAACGAAATAGGCACGTTTGGTTTATTGGTGGGCTGACGAACTGATTGGTGATGCGTCACGGTGCTTGTGGAGGTATGACAGGACAAGATCTGGCTCCATGTCTTCCTCTCCGATACGAACAGGACCCAGTAGGATTTGAGGCTGGTCTCACACCGGTGGCCTGTCACAGACATAATCTGGCGACCCTCTAGCCCCGCGTCGGAGAGCCGACTCACAGCAGTGCTCCGCAGGCTGTGGTTTGTGTAGATCCGGGAGAGGGGTGTGGAGAGACTCACCTGAAAAAAAGAAAAAAGAAATTAACTTGAATAAATAATTTGGGGAAGAGAAATTATTGATGATTTTATCAGCTTTAGTGTGTGCCCAAATATCTCACCTCTTCACAGATCATTTTGAGCATATTCCCGAGGTAATTCACCCCCATCGGCTCCTGGAGTAGAATTACGCTGCGTGTCCAGGATGCGCCTCGGGTGGAGATAGAAGGCCTTGGCGTTGTCTGGACATCTGGAGATGTAGCTCTTAAAACTTTGAACTGGACACAAGGGATTCCCAGGCAGGGCAAACATGAAACCTCTCAGATTTTCCTTGTTCGAGGCGGTGGGATCTTTATGATTTTTGGTCTCTGGATTGTGCGCCAGGCTAATATATTCCACACCATCCTCATCATGCCTTCTCGGCCCCTCCGTGCAAAGCAAAGCTGGATATCAAACCAGACCTTCCTCACCAAGCCAGCAGGAGTGTCGGGAGACAGGATGGCTGAATTTCGGATCATCTGCAGGTCAGACTCGGTTATCTGAGGATGATGGACACTGGTGTCTTTGCTGCTCTTCCTATACCGTTTCAGCATTGCTTTAAAAACAGCATTGCTGGATTTGAACTCTGTATCACTTATTATGTTGAAATGTGATATGTGGCGGTTAATACCAGCTCTGATACTCATTAAGCTAGCCACACTGTACTCACTGCCAGGCTTAACGGACTGAACCGAGGCATAAGACTTGCGTAAAATGTCATTAAGCATGACTGCCAAGTATGTATTCAAATCCATGTTCTTTTGTTTTTGGCAGAGAAAGTCCGTCAGTATCTTAACTGCCCATTTTGTTGTCTTTTTTGTATTTATCTCATCTTTCTCCTCTTCTATCATTTGAAGCTCTTCAGGTTGACAGTTTGACAGCTGCGCTCGTTAATGTTTCTATGGTTACAGGCCGGTTAGCGGATGAATTTAGACAGTTATAAAGTTTAGCCGAACTACATGTGCATTAAAGGGTTTTAACGCATACCTGCTGACCAATCAGAAAAGAGTATTCACCCAGACCACGGTATAAATATATATGTATATATATACTTTTATTAATCACCAAAGGGGAAATTCAGTGTTTTCACTCCGTTAGAATGAGGGGCCCCAAGCCGTTGGGGGGTTCGGTGCCTTGCTCAAGGGAACCTCTCCAGCTACCAGTCCACGCTCCATATTTTGATCCGGGCGGGGACTTGAACCGGCGTCCCTCTGGTTCCCAATCCCAAGCCAAGTCCCTATGGACTGAGCTACTGCCGCCCATAAATTACTCTGACAGAACCCTTTGTCCAAATCTTATATTGACTTCACAATGACCTCAAGGATCTCTACACTTAGCCATCTTACAGTTTGATTTTTTTCACAGTGAACCTCACAGAAACAGTAGTGTAGCTTTAAACTCTCAGTCTTGATTTTCTTTGGCTGTTGGTTTACTTCAGTTTGGCTAAGTGGCTGGTAAGAAATAAAACATCTTTTGAGCCTTAGTGGTTTGAAGTAATGTATTGACATTGCTCAGCTTTCTCATGAGAAATGTAATGCTGTTTGTTAGGAGTCAAAATGTAATCAAGACCAACTATAGGAAACAATTTAAAGTATTTACTTGCAAAAGAAGAGTTTCTCATGCTTGGGGAGTTTAGCATAACAAGATAAAGTCACTGTACTGCAGTGTGGATGATGAGTGTTGGATGATGATGATAATAAATGATGGCGATGTGATTGATTGCAACTTCAAAAATTTGTTCAGATGTGATTAGGGCTGGGCGGTATATCGGTATTTTACAATATACCGATATATTTTCAAGCAAGATATAGATTTAGACAAAACCGTTTGTATCGATATAGGGTCAAGTTGCGCCACATAACACACACCAGTGTGCATCTCTCCTCTCTCACACTCTCCGCACAGCTCCGCCCCTCTCACTCACTCACAGGTTCTCCATCAACACTCAGAGAAACACAGAGCTGCTCCTCTGTTTAACGTCTGTTCATTAGTCTACAGTGCATCATCAGTCTATATGTTGCACAAGCTACGCTAAATCAGTCTGTGAGATGAATGAAGTTACCGCAGTCGCACACATATAATACTGTGGGCCTTTTCCTCTGTAACTTTTAGCCGCGTCCAGTCAAGCGCCGATTTGTTGTTTTGTTTTGTGTGTAACGTGTTTCCATTATCAGTTTAGTTGCCCAGTGCCACGCCGAGCTGCGCACCTACTCCTTCTCCGGAATAAATCCAAAAGCCGGGCCACCCCCGCTGTCAAGCGGGTAGCAGTGGCATCTAGTCAACCGCAGTGAACCCCGCTTCTCCCCGCTCCTCCCCCTCTAACAAGCCGTGTTTTGGAAGACTCTACTCACCTCCGTCTGCAGAAGACCAGAGAGAAAAGTGTTTTTAAAAGTCTCTGTGTGTTCAGCTCTTAGTACGTCTGTAGCTTCTAACTGAATCTGAATGAGTTTAGTTTCTCTCCTGCATCCTGTTTTTACTTTACATATCTGCTTTATTTTATTAATTCATGTTTGCTATCAGCCATATTAGAAGTTGTGTGAAGTTGCTGCTCAAAAAACTCCATATTTCCTTATTTTGCTGCTTCACAATAAAAGTTTTTACTTAACAAAATAATGGGGGACTTTTATTTTTAAGACCTTATATGAATTAAAATATGTTTATTACAGAATTAGCTAAACTGTATGAGTGGCTTTTCTTCAATTAAGACAAGTGTAATAATACGGCAGGGAGGAAGAGTAAAAGCAGAAACAGTGAGATGTTGATGAAGAGCTGCAGACAACAGGCTCCAACTGCACCTCTGCAAACAGCTCACCTCCAACAGGTAAACTTCTTTTACCTGTCCTGCTGTGGAAAAACACATGCAGCAAAAATAACAAGGGACTTAAGTTGTGGATCAGCTTGCAACTGAACATGTAGCCCACTTCGTAGAAAATACCGGGATATATATCATGTATCGCCATTCAGCCTGAAAATACCGGGCTATCAATTTTGGTCCATATCGCCCAGCCCTAGATGTGATGAACAAATGAGAAGTCTTTCTTTTGTGCGGTGTTTCAGACATAAATACAGATTTATACTAGCCTAGTTTTTTACAAAGCAAGGAGTTAGCACCCCAGGCTAACTCAAACAGTTCCAAATATTTTAAATTGCTTCATATTTCCTTTATTTTTTTTAAATTAAGTATATGACAACCAGTATTTTCAGTTACGATGATTAATGCCTTACATGTTTTGTTTCTCGCCCCTTCAGGAAGTACAAACTTAAGTCTAAGAAAAAGAATCCGATCTGGTCTACAGTGTGTGAGGAGACATCACATAGGTCATGTGACCTCACAAAGTTAAACCTGTACTACCTGGGCATCTATGTGCTTCGTGTACGAGCTAATGTGAACGGACGTCTCTCCGACTGGACGCTGAAGGAGTTCTGCCCTGATAAAGATGGTGAGAGAGAGGGATGAGATGAAGACAAGTGGAGGTAGAGCAGAACACTGGGATTAGGGAGAGAATCAGTCCTTCTAAATGTTCAGGCAGATACATAAAGTTCACCGGAAAGACATTTTACACATGAGCCTATGGCAGCATGTGATCTTAGGTGGTGGTTCCTTCTCTCCTTTCTTCCCTTCTTTCCTTCCTTTCTTTCAGATTGGTTTGGAGTGAGTTTTGTTTAAGCCATTAGAGAGTTAAACAAAACTCACTCCAAACCAATCTGAAAGAAAGGAAGGAAAGAAGGGAAGACAGGAGAGAAGGAAAAAAAAAAAGAAATAATGACTTTTTTTTTTATTTCTTTGGTATTGTTTTTAAATTCATATTTTGGGTATTATAATGGTTTTACATGCCCTTTTTAATCCTGCACTTTGAACTGACGCACTGATGACACTTTACCTTTTTATTGTTACTATGTTATTGTGTCCTGACCTGTTTGTCTGTTTTGTGTGGGCTTGTGTGGATGAAGCCAACTCATCACTTAAACTGTGAACCAAATCTACCTTCGGGTACAAATAAAGTTACCTTACCTTACCTTATAACCATTAGAATCAAGACAAACACACTTTGATAGACGGTGCATAGAAGAGCAACTGAACAAAGAGTGTACAACCACAAAATGATGTTGATGGTGCTGTGAGTGATATGGTGACCTAGCATTATTGCAGCTAAATTACTACAAGAATTTGGTCTGCTCTTGTGGACAAAATCACTCAAGTGAAATAGCGACAGAGGCACGTTATAAGATGTGTTCTTTGTGTAACTTTTGAGACCCATTTCCATAAAAATTACCAACAACTGGCTTTGTGCTGCCTCATTTAAATGAAACTGCCTCCTGTGCACTGTGTGCTGCACTGGGCACCAAAATGCCACACAGACAAATGCAAAGCTCATGTCAAGTTCAGGAAGCAGTCCATCATTGTATTGCTTGCACTGAATAATGTCTTCTGTGAAAATGTTACAGACTCAAGAGAAAGGGGCCGGCTCTATCAGATCTATCATAGAGCACATGATAGTCATTTTAAAAAAGAACAGAGGGACCTTAATGAACCTCATCTGAATGGGTGAAACTAGGCATTATTTATAATATATATTGGAGGGGGAAGAGATGCTCACACTGCCTATTGTTTCAAAATGTTCTGAAATTTACAGTTTAGCTGTTAAGTTTCTAAAAAATTCACCAGGAGGGAATTTTCCCGGACTTGCCCTGAGGGTTGGGTCACAAAAGGTCTAGATTTAAAATGGTCCCCCTATTGTTAAAAGGGTGATTATGGCCCTGGAGTGAAACAATATTAGGTAAGAGCCTGTGCTGTTTTGATTAGGGCTGCAACTAACTATTGTTTTGCATATAAATGAACATCAATTATTTTCTCAATGAATTGTTTTATTTATAAAATGTGCCACGGGTCCCAGCTGTTGTCCTCAAAACTCTTGTTATGTCTGACCGGCCCAAATATATTTAGTTAACTGTCTTGTATGAAAAAGAAAAGCAGCAAATCTTCGTATTTGAGAAATATTATTATTTCATATTGTGCTATTGAAGCTAACAAAATAAAAGGCTACAAACAGACCATAATCTATCCATGCCTCACTGCTGCTCCTGCTAGCTGCTGTGGGTCCTCCAAGCAAAGTGGATCTTTCTCCTGCTGGAAGTGACCTGGACATTTTCATCACTGACCCTTTGACCAGTACCAACAGTTCAATGAAGGATCATCATCCTGAGCTGTACTACCACATCCTTTACTGGGAACGCTCTGGAGACAGACAGGTAGGAAATTGCTTTGTGTTGTTGTATGTATTGTATGTATTATTGTATGTATTGCCACTGTATTAGTTTGAAATAACTTTTATACTCCATGAAGAATATGAATCAGAATGTCCTCAGACTGCAGCATGTGGGCTTGAACAGCCTTTTTGTATCAGATCTCCTTTAACATCATTTCCCTTGATGGGAACGCATTTTTTCATATGATACCTCTCACAGATTCTTTGTTTTAAAGCAGCAAGAGAGATCCACACAGACATGTTACAGCAGGATAAGTGATCCAACAGTTCACACATCCCATTTTCTCTTCAGTCCCTAAAGACACCAGGGGAAACCCTTGAGACTGCAGCAGCTTCATAACCAGTCATACAGTCACAATGGGCCCTGGTAACAGAGCACCTGATTTCTGTTCTACATGTTCGTGTTGGTTTATTGGTTTTAATGTACCCTATATGCCGAGATGAGGTGTTTCCTGTCTGTGCTACAAGGCAAGGTAAATATCACATGAGAAAGAGTACAGCAGCCAGCAGGTATGTCTTAAAACTGGTTTGACGGGGAAAGTGCAGGTTACTAGGAAACATCCTGAAATAGCCCAGAGCTGACGCACAGCTGACAAGTATGTCAAATGATTTGGATAACAGCCACAGAATGAACAAAAGAGTAAAGAAATGGTAATTATGCACAGCCTAGAAAATGAATGTCATTACATGTGCGTGTGTTTTGAAATTGCATGTACTGCAGAAAGATAATACAGTATATTATTATGACAAATAATCTTTTTTCTTGTTTGAGGACTGTTTCATTCCCTCTTCTTGTTTTTGCATAGGGTTGACACAGTACGCTTTCTCGCCATTTTTTGCATTCTATGTTATAATAAAGTTTCTACTGGGCTTTTTATAAAGATAAATGTAGTACATTTTAAAATAAGAATGCTACTTTGAAAAAAAAATACATTCATAGTAGAAATACACAGGTAACAAAAGAGTGAATAAAGTGATGCTGAATATTGAAATTGCACAAATAAGTACAATTTTAAATATAACTTTCTTATTGTTCACAAATCCCAAGCCTTAGCATTCGCTTTTTAAACTACAGTAGCCTACAGAGTTAAGAAAAACATCCTGCTAACATTACAATGAATGGTTATGAAAATGAAACTGACTACATGCGCATACAGTGCATGTAGAGCTGTCAGCCTCTGACTTCAGCTACAACAGGGAATTCAACCCCAGTAAATGAGCTAAGCTGCCCTATATAATGTTAGTGTTACCAGTTAGCTAACGATTCACTATTTGATGTTAACAGTAACATCACAGTTAACTAACTGCAGCCAATATTTGCATTTACAGCGAGTGATCTAACGATCATGTTAAGGTTACAGTAAGTATAGACCGAATCACAGTGACATCACGCTCACAGCAAGAATTATTACTTTTACTATATTTTACCTTAAAAAAAAAAAAAAAAACTAAAAAAAAATCTGTATGAGCATAAGTCTACGCTATATTTGAATATTTTCACTACTTTAAGTTACACACTTACCAAGTGACGCTGCGGTGGACCAGCCACTTAGTGTTGTGCCTAGTAAAATGACTGTTTTTGTTAGTGGAATGTGGTGACTTTGATGTAACAGCTTGAGTTCCCCGTTGGAAAAGGCTGTCTGACAGCAGGGTAAGGCAGTTAAAATATTGTAAATAAATGGAAATAAACATTGTGATTTGGTCTATCAGGAGTCAAAACTCTGCCGCAGCTCAAATCATGTTATTAGCATTAAGCACTTACCTCCTCTTCGTTATCCACTATGGGACATTAGGCTGCAATGAGATTTCTCGAGGTTTATCTTTGGCCACATGCTGTTCCTCTCCCCATGACAGGTGCATTTTTTCCAGTAGACAAACCAGTCAGCAGGGCCATTTCTTGGAGGCTCGTTGCAAAATCTTGTTTTGCCCCCCTATTTAAATCACTTGCGAATACACACTAAATTTGCATCAAATTCATATGAAACCAAATGCAACTTTGCAAGACTTTTAGTCTTAATTCAGTTCACCTTAGCTACATTGTTAACATTATATATAAATAAATATATATATATATACGTGTATATATATATTGAAATATTAATGTAAAAAATATATATAATGATGTGGTTGAATGACATCTGTGCTAAAAGATTTCCTTTGACTGTAGTGTGCTGACTCCCTAATTTCTTCACCTCCCCCATGTGTCCTTCAGCCCTTAAGGACCCAGATGTTGACTAGCAGTGCCAACATGGTGACTTTACCAAACTTGAAGGCCTGGACTTGGTACTGTGTGAGCATTCAGTCATGCTATGACTTCTACAACAAGAGCAGCAGCTTCACCTCACCCCACTGCATGCAGACTGAAGGTAACACTTTTTAAATTGACACATTAATATCACACAATAATGCCTCAAGAATCTGCCTGTTGCTTCCCTCTGGGAATAGTTTATGAAGAGGCGAGCAGAGTCTTTACAGAGCCGTAAAGTAAATACTTACACAGGGTGTTAACTCTTTACCACTCTTGTAATGGGGGGGGGGCTTCAGTTTACAACTGTTTGATACACGTCTTCAGACCAGCTGGCTAAATAACACCTCATTTCTCTTATAGTCTGTCCATTTATCCCAGCATTGCAAATGTGTCCTTGCTTTAGTCCTCAGGTGAAAGGTCAGTTTTTCCATGGAATATAGTTCCTCTACATGTCCATCCACTCTCCTGGAGTTGGTGGGTCACGTGTCAGCCAGTTCCTTGTAATGGCATTTTTGCATGCCAGTATGAGGATTTTGAACAGATAAATGTCCTTCTTATGAATAATATCCTCAGGTATTAATCCCAAGTACACAATCCGCGGGTCCCTTGGGATCTAGTAACCTAAAAGTATAGGGATTATTATATAAAATCAGAATAATTCTATCCCAGAATATTTGTAGTTTTATACATGACCAGAATATTTGTGAGTGATCGGCATTCGCCTGCCCAGAGTCTACAGCAGTGCTGTTGTTCACCTGATTGTTTGTATTTTGTTTATGGTGTGATAAAAAAAAACAAATTATATTCTTCCACCCAAATTCTCTCCATCTTTTAGAGCTGGTGGATGTTTGCTGCATACTGTAGCTGGAATGCCACTCATCTCCCGACAGATAAAGATTCAGTTCTGCCTCCCATTTCAATTTCACATACAAAGTACACCCTCCATTACATTTTTGAAAACTCTAAACAATTTGGAGACTATTTTGGAGGGAGCACGTTTGTATGCACCTGTCAATACTTCAATCACATCGCTAATTTCTCTTGAATTTCCTTTTTTAATTTCTGTATTATAAAAGTGTCTTAGTTGAAAATATCTGAAGTTCTCATTTTCTAAGTTGAATTTGGTTTTGAGTTTTTCAAATGTTTTAAAAATGTTTCCCTCTACAAGTGTACATATAGCTGTTATTCATTTTTCTCTCCACCTTGTGAATGTGTTATCTGTCTTTCCAGATCTAAACCTGGAGGTCTGAGAAGGCACTAGAGTTAACTTGTAATTCATCTTCACAAAAGTCAGCAGTTATAAGCATTTTTTAATTTTATGTCTAGGCTAAATAATTGCATTTGTGAGGTGAATGTTTAGTGTATTGTAAATACTTTCCACACTATCCCCCAGAGACGAACATTAACAGATCAGAGCAGCGATCAGCAGTAATGTGAAGAAACAAGAACAGCTGACCAACACACATTGCAGCATTAAACAATTAAAACAACTCCAGGGTTTAAAGTACTCCGGCGTGGCGCCGGATTTCTGGCTTGACAGACATTTCTAGTATTTTTTTTTATTATTTTTTGTGGCAACAGCTTGGCATAAATTAGCATTTAACAAATTGTCTTCTGATTTTCAGCCAAGCACATGGGTAGTTCCACCAATAGTATAGTGTTATCAAACTCAGCTGGCCAATAAGAGCTGAGTGGGGAGGGTCTAAAAACAACAAGCGCGCGCACACACACACACTACTTCCAATCACATGTTGTTTAGGTGTCCGTTACAGCCTGATATCCAAATGAGTGTGGGTGAATGTGCAACAGAAATAGACAATTGAACTGCGTTTGAATGATTAGCTTGTGTTAGCTTCACCGCCAGCTATCGGACACTGAGAGAAAACAGCATGCCAGGGCTCCAGACTGCGCCTAATTGGTCGCATTTTGCGACCTTTTTTTGGAGGTCATGCGACATAGTTTTTTTAACTAGGCGCACCAGTGCGACTTACAAATCCACCCCTCTCCCCCTTTTTCTTTCTTTCTTTTTTTTTTATAATTGCATTTCATGGAGGAGCGGAAGCGAGTGTCTCTGTGTGTGTGTATGTGTGTGTGTGTGTGCCTGTCATGTGTGTCTGGATGCGCACGTCGAGGTGGGGGGGCGCCAGTAACCATAGCAACGTGCAGCAGTTTTAGTACGTGTGCACTGTGCGCGGGGTTAGACAGAGAGGGGTCACAGAGCCGGTGTCGAGTAGAAAGTGCTGTGTCGTTTGACCATAAAGTGACGCTATGAAACAAACTATAGATTCGTTTTTCACAAGAAAAAATAATCCAGAAACTCCTGTCGGTCCTGTGCCAGTTTCCCAAACTTCCGACGACGATAGTTCAGAGGACGAGTCAGCAGGTGATGTCACAGCACCGAAAAAGCCAAAGCCCTATCATTTCCGACAAGAATGGCTCACTGAATTTACGTGGTTGAGATATTGTAAAGAAAAGAAAGTGATATCCTGCATGTACTGCTCTCAGTGCGGTCCGAAATTTGCGGGGAAAATTAAATTCGCCGACTCCACCACACAGTTCAAACATGAAACGCTGGTTGAGCACAACAACAGCATCAGGCATAAATTATGCAGGGACAGATGCAATGATGGAGCAAAAGCGCCGCTGCACACATCATTTAAGAGTAGGGCTGCCACGATTAGTCGACTAATCGGTTTGAGTCATTTTTCATAGAAAAGTACTGTAAAAGTACCCCAAAATACTCTTACTGCAGCTTCTTACGTTCAAATATTGGCAGCTTTACACACTCTCCCATGACAGTGAACTAAAACCCTTCGGCGTGAGTATGAAACAAGACATTAGATGACGTAATTTTGGGGTTTGGGCGAGACAGACTGACATTTTTCAACATTTTAACACATTTTTCAATGAAATGATTAGTCGACTAATTGAAGAAATAATCAACAGATTAGTCGACAATGAAAATAATCGTTAGTTGCAGCCCCATTTAAGAGGCAGGGTTGTCTGTGTTTATTGCTGAATTATCAGTAATGCAGTTAATATAGACAAAATTATGAATATGTTGTGTTGATATAGATAGTGCTCCTAAATTTTGTGCTGGTGCTCCTAAAATTTTCAGTAAGGAGCACTGGTGCTCCTAATGGAAAAAGTTAGTCTGGAGCCCTGCATGCCATGCAGTGTTTCCCCTGTATGAAATATGAACGCTGCTGCTGATGTTTTTTTTTCCCGTCTTAGCGCTTAAACCGGTATTATTTGGCGCTACCGACGCTCCATATCCAGGTCAATTCACACACTTGTGGGTAAAGTATATAAGAAGGGAGGAGAGGGCACCGTCTTATGTCTTCATAAACTAAAGTTATATTATTTTGCGCGATGGACGCTTCATATAACATAACAATGTACTATTTATCATGTTATGCCATTGTGTCATTTCTGTCTCTACGTGGTCACGCGTTAACAATTCTCCTCTGCTCTCTGTATCGCGGGGGTCAGCCCTATGTTCCCACAGCCCAATGGTCCCACAGCCCTATGTTCCCACAGCCCTATGTTCCCACATTTGTAAGATTTTTCTTAAAATTAGGCCCTATGTTCGCACAGCCCTATGTTCCCACATTTCTAAGATTTTTCTTAAAATTAGGCCCTATGTTCCCACAGTTCCCATATTTCTAAGATTTTTCTCAAAATTAAACCCTATGTTCCCACATTTCTAGGACATTTTTCAAAATTAGGTCTTGTGTTCCTACATTTCCCTTCAATTTAAGCCCTATCCTCCCACAAGGGTTAGGGTTCGGGGGGACAATAGGTTGGGTGTAATCGGCTACCAAATTGGGAGAAAGGGGGGATAAAATCCAATACAAATTTATGAAAAAGGAAATGTGGGAACATAGAGCTGTGGGAACACAGGGCTGTGGGAACACAGGGCTGTGGGAACATAGGCACGCTCCCGTATCGCGCACGGCGGAGTTCCGCCACACACACACACACACACACACACAGGTGAGCACGCTACCTGACCCGAGCCCGGCGCAGTTTGTTACCTGACATAGTTATTGTTATGGACAGTGTGTAAATAACCATCAACAGACTGCTGTTATGCACAGACGAATACGCTGCTCGCACAGCAGCGCAGCATGGCACTGTTGGAGCGGAGTCAGTGTTGCGTTCAGGCGTTGTCACGTAAATAACTACCGGCACTTAAATAGGTCATAGCACAAAACAGCAGCATGTAAAGTGACTTTTTACTTTTATTATGTTCAATAAAATTGTATTTTCCTAAATCTTGAGACACCTCATATGTAAGCTAGACAGACATTTCACCTGCTCATTACTGTGCACAAATGTACTCTATGTACTTAGTCCTAAAGAGCCTTCCTGGTGCCAGTAGATAGGCCTACATAGAAACATCCCAACAGGCTGTGCTTTGCAAGCGTACCAAAAAGTTTCATGCATTTGAAAAAAAAAATTCATGCGTGTGCTTCACCTACGCTGCTACAGCTCCATCCTAGGGGAAACACTGCTATCTGCATTTTGTGCAACAGGTGGATGCAGTAGTCTACTGGTAGAGTAGAGAGAGAGAGAGCTTAGCGTTGAAGTAGAGTAGAGCAGGGCAGAGAGATGGAGGCAAAATATATTAAACCCAGTGTTAATACAGCAGAACTGGAGAGAGGGGTGAAAAATAAATGGAGGTGCCAGCCATCTTTGACAAAATTATAGACGGACCTCTTCCGAGGATGATTGACAAAGATTGGTTTCAGGGTTCAGGCTCAGGAAAATTTTTCACTTTGAGAAAATAACTCACTGCTCAGCCTGTTTTACCTCAAAAAACCCTGACCCTGCTCAGTGTCCTTGCTTTCTGGAAGCAGAGCAGGAGACTTTAAGTTGCTTTAAATTAATTTATTCATTAATTAATACAGTCATGTTTCAAATAAAAAGACTGCAGAACATTTATTATTCACCAGTACATGAACTGCATAGTGTCACTGCTAAAATATTACAGGACATAAATACTGGACACTACGCTGGCATAAATATGCCAGAATGGGTTGGTGTGAGCAACCACAGGTGGATATAATCCAACTGCCACCCCCTGGTTTAAAAGTTAGGGTATGGAAGAATTTTGGCTTCTATGAAGTTGAGTAGAAAAAGGACCTGGACAAGAGCCACACTGTCAACAAGTAAATTCATCTGTGTAACTAATTATTAGTTATCAATTATTAGTCATTACAAATACAGTATGTAATGTTAAAAGTAGTATGTAACTAGTAGAGCTCACAGTCATGTCTCCATTAGGGATGTCCCGATCACATTTTTTTTGCATCCGATCCGATACAAAGTCCTTTATTTTGAAACCGAGTCCAATACCGAGTCCGATCCGATACTTTGCAAAGCATTAAGAAAGAAAAAAAAAAGTTGTCTCATAAGGTTTGTTTTTTATTTAAATAATATCCAAAAAGCTTATCGGTGGTTCAGCAGCACAAAATGTAAACAAATTCAATATGTTCTTCTTGTCTTCAACAAACAAAAAGGCCTATATCTTTTGCAGCGGTTTGACACATGAAACAAATATTTTTATTTTACTCAGTCAAACCCCACAAAGAAACCATAAAACCGATAAAACAGGTCCCTTAACACCAAAATTAAATTGTTTTTACCTGGTTTCTGTAGAACAAAAGAATTATACTCAATTTTCAAAAATACAAATACAACTGTAATTAGTTTAAAGAAAGTTTATATTTTTTTCACCAAAGAAAAGAAATGTCCCGTTCCGTTAAGTCAGTTCAGTCCAGTTCAAACAAAAAAATCCCCTCCGGGATTTCCAAATAACATATCACAGTTCAATTCAGTTCAATCCACACAGTTGGCTAAACAAAAGAAAACTCCACCCCAGGTTTTCTCGTAAACAAGGAAGTAAAGAAAATCCACTGTTCGCTCTGACTCAGTTCAGTTTCAAAACAATAAATCAACCCGGCCCGAAGGTTCCAAATAAGGAATAATGAAACGAAAAGTAACCCCCGGCTTTTGCCAACTCACAGGACCGTGGGTGAATGCCGTAACGCTCTGGCGTTGTTTCAGGCGTGGAGCCTCCGTAGGATCCCTTGATATCCGTGGCGGGGAATCTGAGGTGAGGCCGGTGGCCGGACGGATGATATTCCACAGGGAAGCGCACCTATTTCGCAGACTTTGAGCGGTGTAAAATGCCGTGGTAGGCCGAATACGCAGGGGACTTCTGGCTCATTTCTCACTTGCCGGCGTCTCTCGCCATACTACCAGGAGCGGCATAATGTAGGGGCCGGTCCACCTGGGCTCAGCTGATCAAGCCATCCCACTGGCCGATAGCACCAGTGGGTGTGTCTGGAGGTGAGCAAGCCATCAGCTGATAACCACTGTCTTATAAAAAAAATATATTTATAAAATTGGAAAGCGGAGGCAACAATGAACAACATAGGTGAAAAACCTGGCCATTTTTGTTGTTTTGATTCCTCCGACCTTTTATTATCAATTCCGATTTTGTAAAAATAACATGATCTGTGCCAATACGGGATCCGAGGATCGAATCGGGACATCCCTAGTCTCCATGTTTGTATATACTCAGGACATAAGTGTATGTAGCTGATAACAGATGCAACGTCACTCAAATATGATGTAATCTGTGTATTTGTGTCACTTTAACAGGTGTCATTCCATGGTGGCAGATCTTGGGGTACTTCCTGGTCTCTCTGGTTAGCTGCTTCGTGGTCATGCTGCTCTTACTCTGTGGCTTCTTTTGGTTCGTAAAGACCCTCAAGGCCATGTTGTACCCCTCCATCCAGCTCCCTCCACACTTCCAGGTATGCAGCCACAGCTTTGGCATTTTTTTTGGTGTTGGTCAAAGAAGATATGGCTAACCTATGGATATAGCAGCTGACTGGCCATTCCATTGCTTACGAGAGAACAAATCATTGGCATTTCAGCATTTTATCTCACTGAAGTTTATATATTCAGTTTCACCAGGATGTCTCATGTCAATCTTTCCTTACTCCTCTTCCTCCATCTCACCCTGCACCTCCTTCCAGTATCTTCATGACTCACCTGGCTCTGACATTCCTCACCTCCTCACACCGGATTCAGACTCAGACCTGTTGTGCGACAAGGTGACCGTCTGTCCAGAGCCACTGGTCCTGGAAATCCATGAGCCCCCCCCTGAGGTCCTGCCAGCACCCCCTTTAGGCCTAGAGCCAGACAGCAGGTCAGTTGATCTCTGACATGACATCAGCTCACATGTTTTGTTCATGTTTACATGTTTTCATATTTATATGGCCTTCAGTGACTCAGCCAGTACTTCATAGTGTTCACATATCATCATAATGTGTGGTGTAATGTATTTTTGTTTTGTTTTTTTGTCAGTAAGTGAATGAACACATGTACCCTCTCCTTTATGTCTCCAGTGGCAGACACAGTCGTCAGGACAGCAGCGGCAGTGGAGACTCAGGAGTGTACTCCACAGGGGGCAGCTCCAGCCTGCGGCAGCCCAACAGCAATCAATCCTCCGCAGGGGCTGAAGACTGTGAGCAGGGTCACTTTGACTTGCAGCAGGTGAAGATGCAGGACATGGCTCCAAGGCTCAAGACTCAACTTCTGATCACAGACGAGGGCATTGTAGACATGTGTGTCTGAAGGCATGCTAAAAACACATCTGTTGAGAAGAGCGAAGATGATATTGTGGAAAATGTGCAGTGTGCCTTTTCTCCAGCTGTCACTGTGAAACTCAGAGGGGAAAGCATCAGGTCTGTACAAAAAAAAACAAAAGTGTAAAAGACAAGGATTATTAGAATACACAAGATGATGAGTGACAGACTCACACAGGGATCAGAACTGATCTGCTGTGATGTCATTTGCAAGAAGGGATGTGGTCTTCACTGTTGATTTATCTTTCCTCAAAGTAGCTTTTGAAAATGCCGATCCTCATGTGATCTCCTAGGAAGTACTGTACTGATACTGTTGTGATTTGAATATGTTATATGTTCCCTTTACCTTGTCTCTAAAGCCACTGTCTGAACATCCATACTGTGAGAGGTCAACAGGTTGCGCTAATTTGACTAAATGTGGCTGAGAGGATCAGAGTCTATTTGTGTAGCAGTCTGCATTAAAGGAATACTGACCATTTCTTAAAAATGACCATCTCTACATCAGTTACTCACCGTGTGTCACCTTGAATTGATGAAGAAAACTGTCTTTTTTCTTGCATTCATCCATGGGGAACGAAGAATCCAAAAAGAGCAAATATTGTTGATGAATTGAAGTCACTGGGGTCCACATTTAACAATAGCAAAACTATATCAAAACATCTGCTTACAAACTCTCACAACTTGTACAGTATAATTGAAGTCTCATTTATCCAGCTGTATGCTCAGTTCCTTCCATATGCATTGCATTACCCTGCCTTCAGCCCTTGCTCTCCAGGATTGAAAGTGTAAACGTTGATAAGTTTCTGTCCCACTCAGAATGGGTTGAAGGCAAGACACAAAACTGAAATGAAAAAAAAAAAGTTTTCTTGACAAATTTAAGGTAACATTACATCAATAATTGAAATGTAAATTGTAATTTTGTGGGTAAAGTATTCCTTTAATCTAGTCTTTAAGAGTTGAATCAGCTTCATGTCCTGTCGCTGTAATGAGTCAGCAGAAGTAGCTTAAAGGTGCTAATTAGGGAGCATTAATAAACACAAGCAGATAAATTCAAATAGAGTGCCCCAGTAATGAGTTCTAAAACCCGTAAATGAGTCAGCATTTTTGCACTCTCGGTTCCCCTGTTTCAAAGTCAATACATTTTTTGAATGGGTTTTTGGTTAGATGGCTGAAATAAGGTCTGTGGTTAACACAAGCTTTAGAGACTTTCACATTTTGTTTTGTGACATAAGTCAGTAAATACCCCACTGTGAATTCTGAAGCCTTTGTTTATCTTTTAAAAGGTGGTTGCTAACAATACAGAATGTTATCATGCTGCTTACGGCTTCACAGCCCTGTAGTGGTAGGGATGCTAAGTCATGCAACTGTAGTTTAGTTTGTTTATAGCCCAGCCTTAGCCGTTTTTTTTAGCAATTCCTTTGAGGCTTTAAAAATCATGAAAGTGGTGTTCATTTGTGAAGATTATCTTGCTGTCTCATGAATCATCATGTTTGTTTGCCACAGAGCTTTTTTCTGCAGTAATCCAAAATCCAATGGAAAAATCCCATAGACTTTTTGATGAGGGAACCAGGGCAATGCTAAATTCCACGTCAGCCTACAGAAAAACATCCTCCCTGGAACACTCTGTAGAGTGACCTCAGAGTGATGATTGACACCAGCAGTGGATATAGATGCAGCCATTGTCATTGCAATGATGTGCACCTACTGGAGAGTGCAGTGAGATTTAACAAATGATAATGACATTAGTTGGAAACAGGACCAGTAAATCCTTCATGAAGGTTAGAATGTTCTGATTTTGTTCAAACTGTTTGATTGACTCAGCTGTATGATCATTCTGGATGCTGATGTTGGTGGCGCTGTTGACCTGCATTATGTTTGTGAAAGGTGTTAGTTACTGAACCTATCCTCATTGGTATAAAAGGGGTGGACAAAACACCTTTAGGATAATACATTACAGTTCAATAGCACTATTGGCAGTGCTGGTCATTGCCGCCTTAGCGTAAGACCTATTGACATTGTGATACTTATTTGTTCTGTTGTTCTGTTTTGCCAAAATGTCTGTGTTGATCAGATGAACTGGAGAAATCCACTTTAAATAGAGTAGTTTGACCTGAACAGGAGTCTCTGTTGATATCCAACAATCCATCCAGCTACATGTTGAATTTCTCCACATAAAAAGAAACATTGTCCACCTTGTAACATACTTACTGTAAGTAATATCTCAGTGTAAAAAAAAAAAAAAAAAAAAAGAATGAGCTACTAATTTATCTCTGTCCTTCAGTTTTCCTGCTTTTCCATCTCATTAGCAATCTGACTAAATAGCCAGAATAACCTAGTGATGACTATTATGAAAGAAGAGGTTTCATTCTGTGTGAATGTCTTTTATTCAACCATTATGATTCTTTAAGAATCTTGGTGCCATAATGGTTTTATTTGTTTTTTATGACATTTTATTTGTATTAAATATATTTTCCTCACGTTTATCATTTGAGCGATATTATTTCCACCTCTGTTGATCTTTCATGTTTGTTTTGAGGGACTTATTCCTCTATGTTTCCCTCACACATTTCTCTGACTTCACATTTAGCAAAGACAGACATAAGCTTAGCAAACAGATTTTGTAAATAGATAAAGAAGCGAGAGAGGTGTATGTGCTCTGTGTACTTGTACAATTAACATCTTTCATCTACCATCTGCTTTCTAACAACAAATTGCCTTTTCCTGATTCTGCAATGCTAGGATGTATAGGTAAAATTTTAGGCAGTTTTGTAATTGAAGACACAAAACAGAAACAAATCAAACTGATCTGCTTGTAGAATGTGTTGGAAAAATGTCAACAAAACAAATATGAATTCAAGGCAAGATATTAAGTAGTTTTTCCCTTAAAAGGACCCAAAAAAGTGCAGTCGCAAATGTCATAACCTTCCAGGTCTTTCAGTGCTTGTAAAAAAAAACTGTCCTTGTGACCTTGTCATTTATACCCCTTTTCCACCAAAATTAGTGCTTGCACATAGGTTTTTAAACATGAGTAAGCCTGCTAAGAATAGGCCATGGATTCCTTTCCCCTTTGCCAGACCAGTGTGTGTATATGGGGCTCTGCAGCAGACAAGTATGTTTTCTATGCCTGTGTGGATTTTTTTTAAGTGTCATGTTGGACGTCACGGACAGGCCAGAAAACAGGTTAGTAGAAAGCAGTATGGAGGCCAGTAAAAACTTAATGGTGGTTACTTCTTTCTATATATGCCTTACTCATTCAGTCTGTCCTAAAGCTGGTACAGACTAATTATGTAGTGTTTGAGTGCTACTTGAGTGGAGATGCATACTAATTTGTGATAACATGTTATTGCATCTTGCCAGTAAAGGGGCTAAAATTAGCGGGTTCACCAGGGTGTTGGGTTTCCATCACTGCCCATCAGAGCTGATTGGAGCCGAATTGAGCCAGAGCCAATAATACCTGTGACGACCGCAGAGTCATTTGACGTGGGAGTAAATGCTAATTGTAACCTTTCCCTTTACATCCAGATAACAGGTGTTAACAGTTTTTTTTTTTGTGAGGTGGAAAAGGGACTTAAATTTCCTTAAGTTTGATCCAGTTTGACTTCCTCATTGTTGCAGAATTTCCATTCTACACTGTCTCTACATCTCGCCCATCACTGTCCATTCTAACTTGAAATTGTATATAAGCATATTGTTAAGCAGTGTACTGGTAAAGTACGTGTACGTAAACCAGTGGTGATGTCAGTGTACATCTCTGGTCTCACATCCACCAACTATTGAATCCCCTACACCCATGTTAATGGACAATCATGAAAAAATGAAATAAATGGCTTCTAACACCAAACCTTGGTGTCAAAATAAGTGACTTTACTTTGCATGGATTCTCATAAATACACACGCTGAGCTCTAGACTGTGCTTAAAGCTGACGCATTGGTCCTAGGGTTCAAGCAACCTATTTAAAGAAGCAGTCAACCCCAAATCAATACTGTAGTACTCTTGTCTCGTCTCCAGACTTTGTTTTTCCTGTTATGTTGGACTTGTCACAGTCTGGTGTTTTTACCCAGACTTGTGTTGTTCTCATGTCCTACCAATTTTTTTTAAGTGTGTTGTAGAAACAGTGCATCAATAGCTTAGCTATACAGTTTAATGGACAAATGTGTGAAAAAGGCTTTCATTGTCTCATTACTAACTATTTTTTTTTCTATTTTTTTTCCTTTTTATTGACAATCTCAGTAAATAATACATCATTTAGGCAGATTTGATTTGTTTTATGTTCCCATCACATTTCAAACCTTTCTATATTCCAAGGACCGCTCTCTTCCCAGACCCAGCCTACTGCAAGAGAACCAGAACCAGGTTACCAGCATGCTTTTATGGTTTGACTGTGATTACCTGATTCTGTCCAGCTGTCTGATCGCCAGCTGAGACACTCCCCCTCCCTCCTCCAGCAGCCGGCAACTCAGCCACACCCCGCTGCCACATCAACATATTTATATAAACACACGGCCATATATTGTAATACCTACAGATAATTACAGTTCCCCTCAGTTCTACAGATGTTTTCTTGCATCTGTTGAGCTCATAGTTTTGCTTTTACAGACAGTACTCAAAACAATGGAATACTTTGCACATCTATTTCCAAACAGGTGCATAGGCGAGGGACGAGAAGAATAAAACTTGTAAAAAAGACTCCACCAGACTCACACCATCTAACGTGCAAAAATCATGATTTTAATGCTGCAACGTTTTGGTGGCTAGACCTTCTTCAGGCAAACAACCAGTAACAACTGTTTTGGTTGAGTCTCAGCACTCTCTGTGCTTTTCAGCTGTAGCAGGCAGCTGTTTTCAAAGAAAAAGCTCTTTAAAGCCACTGTATGCTACCTGCTCAGCCAGCCTGGTCTCATTCCCAGGTCATCAAATACCCAAGCTTTATCAGATGGTATCTCTTAGTAACGCACAGGACCACTTATGTGACACACAACTGAAACACACTGTAACATCTGGTTAATGTTGTGAAACAGTTGTGGTTAGGTTTATTTAACAAAACCATTTGATAAGTGTCAGAAAAAGGATCATGTTTTGGGTCATGGATGTCTAACAATACCTGGATACAGTGTTGGAGGCAGTGCCCCAGTTATTCCTTTGAAAGTTGCTCAGTGGCACATCAAGCCAAAAAGTTCAGCTGCTGCATAAACTAGTTATCAGAATGATCAGTGTAGGATCAAAATGTATCCTTACCATATATAGACATGTCATGTCCTGCTGTTTAAAGAGCATTCTGCTTTCTTCTGATGTGTCAGTTTTGAATTTGACCTGCAGTGCCCCATGTCCTTGAGTGCATTTATGTGTGTATGAGAAACATGCTTTGTTGCTGTTCTCAAGATGCTTATCAGCTATGCCAAGGTTTTTTCAAAATATGTTACTGTCATTGTTCTTTGTCAGCCATCATCTTGCACCTAAGTGTAGGAGCTCTTACCTTCAACTGAAATAGATTTACTCTGTCACACTCATTTAAAAATATCCCAGAAAAAATGATTGTTATATGAGCATTATTTATGAATATTTCTCAAATTTATTTTGAAATAGCTCTCAGGAACCCCAACCTTTCAATACCAAAATATTTCTCCTCTGTTTTTAAGGTCAGTATTGATCTTTCACAACCATTATCTCCCAGAAAAACATTTAAAAATATCCCAGAAAAAAATGACTGTTCTGTGAGCATTATTTATGAATATTTCTCAATTTTATTTTGAAATAGCTCTCAGGAATTTCTAGCTATCAATGCCAATCTACTTCTCATTTGTTTTTAAGGTATGTATAGAGCTTTCACAACCTTTTTTTTTGGAATAGCATTTAAAACTTCCAAGAAAGAATTAGTGTTCAGTGAGCATCATTTAATAACATTTCTTGATTTTCCAAAAGTGTAAATTCATTAGGGAATGCATGGTTGGCGACCACCCACAATGCCTTCACAGACCAGGAAACAGCGGATCACTGGTTGAAGGGCCTTCTTTATGAGTGGAAAAAAAAAGAAAAAAAAGACCATTGACGGAAGATATCAACCAGTTTTATGCATTGTTTTGTTTTTAAATTAACTTTTTAACATAAGTAACCTGCCTCTATGCAACTCTGTCCATGGTGCTGAATAAAAAATGTTATTTGATGTCCAGCAATGTGTCTGCTCAATTATTCATTCCTGTATTGTTCCTTTGTAACAATTCCCCTTGTAATAAAATTAACCAAAGGAAAAGTTACAACGCTAATCTAAAGGTTACGGGTGGATCAGGTGCGAGGTGTTTGAGATACGAAAAGAGATTAACTAATTTTGCTTTATCACCCAAAACAAACTCAAATTCTCACACTTGCTGTGTTAAAATATTCCGAATAAACGAAGATTAACGAATGAGTCACAATAAGTTGAATCAATAATCAAACTTTAGTGAAAGAAAATAAATCATGTCCGCGTCCGGACGGAGATAACACTTAAACAAGAAAGGGCGTGGGCGCCGGTTCCACATTATCACAAAACACACTCTTCACAGAATAACCCGAATTACACCCCCCCCCCCCCCCCCCCCCCCCCCCCCCCCCCCCNCCCCCCCCCCCCCCCCCCCCCCCAGCAGTCAATCAAAGTCCCAGAAGCCGGCAAAGAAGAAAACATGTATGTTAAAGGGGAGTCTGTTGGAGCGTAATGAAGCGCCACAGTTCACAAAAACAAACAAAGAACCACGCAACCTCACCACTCGTCCCGCTTGGCAGCAAAGTTGTGTCTTGAGGTAATCCACAAGGAACAAGAACAATCCGCTGTATTTGGTTTGATCCTTTAGAGACGGGAAACTCCTCGCACACCTCCAAACGCTGACTGCTCAGTTTCCCCCCGTCATGCATCACTTCCCCCTTATATCAAGTTTTGGCATCAACATAATAACAATATTTCAGTCCATACCATACCCGTGTACATATAAATGGCATCTGATAAATTCACCATACAGCATTAATAAATGTGACAGCGGAACATGAAAAATTATAAATTTTTCCCGTCACTAAATGCCTTGTGTAAGGTAGAACTAGGCGACCTTTACACCTTTATTTAAACTGTATAAACAGAAGCATCCACTTATTTCAAGATATATGTAATAAACGATGTAATTAAGGACTCAGTAGTAAACATTTATTCATATCCAGTAACTGCTAAGTAGGAGTAGTTGTTTCGCACTTGTGCGATACAAAACTGCGGGGTGTATTTGGTTAATATTCATTTGAAAATTTTCAGCATTTGAGGCTTACACACCAATCCGTTGCAACATTTTTGCATTGTAGTGTGCCACTTTTACATCAAACGGAGGGGAAAATCCTGTTTCTCTCCTGCAGTCCCTACTGCACTGGGCTTTGTAACTTTGGCCCTGTCCAAATACCCGCACTTGCGCCCTGAGGTCTTCCCTGAAGTGCACTTGCCAAAAGTGCAGTTAGGGGCGTAAGTGCGCAAGGGATCGACGCTGTTTAAAAAGGAGAATTGGGACAGTTGCGGAAACGTCACTTCCGTTTGGGTCCAGCTGGTCCGTCTCCTAGGAGACGAAACATGACGATAGAGGAAATAACGTTGTTCACAGCACTGCTGCTGCAAATGATAAATAGATACAATCAGTGAATGATGAGGAGGATTAGGAGCCGCAGGAGAAGGCGGCATCTACATCAGATCCAAGTATTGATGCTGATGCCCAACCAACAGGTAAATTTTTTAAATTAAATTTTTTAAATTAAATTTTACTCTTGAATTTACCCGTTAATAATGTGTATATTAGCTCTAACTTTTTTTACTCTACTGTTAACGTAGCCTAGATTACCGTTATTACTATTAAAACGTTTTTTGCTTGGATAAATTGTGGTAAATTGTGATCAATCAATCAATCAATCAATCAATTTTATTTATAAAGCCCAATATCACAAATCACAATTTGCCTCACAGGGCTTTATAGCATACGGCATCCCTCTGTCCTTATGACCCTCACAGCGGATAAGGAAAAACTCCCCAAAAAAAAACCCTTTAACAGGGAAAAAAAAACAACGGTAGAAACCTCAGGAAGAGCAACTGAGGAGGGATCCCTCTTCCAGGACGGACAGACGTGCAATAGATGTCGTACAGAACAGATCAGCATAATAAATTAACAGTAATCCGCATGACACAATGAGACAGAGAGAGAGACAGAGAGAGAGAGAGACAGAGAGAGAGAGAGAGATGCAGGTAATAACAGTAGCTTACAACAACATTATTGAAAGTAATAATATTATAGTTATAGTTCTGGCTACTGTGGTACAATATGTTGAAAGTATGTATTAATATCTGGCAGTATACATGTGTGACAATAGTCATATGTGTATAATAACAGTAGAAGTATGACTAATGACTAATGATGGCAGCAGCAGCAGGAGGCATCTGGCAGGACCACGGCAGCAGCACAACCACACACGTCACGCTGTCCAGGCACCGCTGCGATATGAGTTAATCTGAGAGACAGTGGAGCACAAAGGCTCCGGAGAAGAAGCCGAGTTAGTGACATCCAGAATGGCCGAGTTAGCAAGATGCAGTAATAGAATACGAGAGAGAGAGAGAGAGAGAGAGAGAGAGAAGGAGAGAAGGTGCCCGGTGTATTATAGGGGGGTCCTCCGGCAGACTAGGCCTAAGTCAGCCTAACTAGGGGCTGGTACAGGGCAAGCCTGAGCCAGCCCTAACTATAAGCTTTATCAAAGAGGAAAGTCTTAAGTCTAGTCTTAAATGTGGAGACGGTGTCTGCCTCCCGGACCGTAACAGGAAGATGATTCCACAGGAGAGGAGCCTGATAGCT